GTCTAGATGGGAGCATATGTTGTTCTAGAACCTGAACATAGTTCTCTGCATTAATGGTGCCTTTCCAGACATGCAAGCTGCCCATGCCACAAGCGCTCATGCAACCCCATACCAATAGTGATGCAGGCTTCTGAACGGAGCGTTGATAACAACTTGGGCTATCCTTGTCCTTTCTGGTCCGGATGACATGGCGTCCCAGTGTTCCATAAAGAACTTCAAATCGTGACTCATCTGACCACAGAACTGTCTTCCAGTTTGCCACACTCCATTTTAAATGACCCCTGGCCCAGTGCAAACATCTGAGCTTGTGGAGCTTGCTTAGAAATGGCTTCCTCTTTGCACTGTAGAGTTTCAGCTGACAACGGCGGATGGCACGGTGGATTGTGTTCACTGACAATGCTTTGTGGAAGTATTCCTGAGCCCATTCTGTTATTTCCTTGACAGTGGCATTCCTGTTTGAGGTGCAGTGACGTTTAAGGGCCCGGAGATCACGAGCATCCAGTAGAGTTTTACGGCCTTGACCCTTACGCACAGTGATTGTTCCAGATTCTCTGAATCTTTTGATGATATTATGCACGGTTGATGCTGATAACTTAAAAGTATTTGCTATTTTATGCTGGGTAACACCATTCTGGTATTGTTGCACTATCTTTCTGTGCAACAATGGTGTAATTGGTGATCCTCTTACCATCTTGGCCTCTGAGAGACACCGACACTCTGAGAAACTCTTTTTATACCCAATCATGTTGTCAATTGACCTAATTAGTGTTAAATGGTCTTCCAGCTGTTCGTTATATGCTCAATTTCCTTTTTCCAGCCACTTATTGCTACTTGTCCCAACTTTTTTGGGATTTGTTGGCACTGAAATTTTGATTCAACATATTTTTCCTTTAAAATGTTACATTTACTCAGATTAAACTTTTGATCTGTCATCTATGTTTTATTACAAATAAAATATTGACATTTGCCATCTCCACATCATTGCATTCAGTTTTTATTCACAGTTTGTTTAGTGTCCCAACTTTTTTGGAATCCGGTTTGTAGATCTCTACAAAGATAATTGAACAAATCATTCTAATGAGACTAATCAGAGCTTAATCACATTCATACACTGATGGCACACATCAGAGGCAATGAGGGGTTCAGTGTCTTGCCCAGAGACACATCGGCATGTGACTGCTGGTGGATTTGAACCCTCAACTCTTGCATTGGAGGACAACTGCTCTAACCACTCAGCCACAGCCGCCCAGTGGTGGAGGCCTCTGTGTTCAACTGTCCCCCTCTTACTATGCTGTTATTGCTAGTATCACTCAGCCCCCTGTGAATAGTAAACAACCATCAGTGTGCTAATGACCCATCGTTAGGCTGATGGTCCTTCTTGACCATGTGAGCAGCTGGTTTTGGTTGTCAGCAGCAAACTGGTTGATCCACTCTGAGAAGGTGCTATTTAAGAGACTGAGCTGAATACAGCACCTCAGACTGAGGAAGTCTTTCGCATGAAAAACAAAACGTTTCTACAGTTTTTTTTTTGTTTTTTTTTTGCTTTGTTTTGTTTTTTGAATGTCCAGAAGACCAGATTTAACTTTTTTAGATTTTTCTACCTGGATTATTGAGCATGCATAAGGATGTATAAATAAAGGTTGAGTGTTTTTTCGTCTGGATTCACAGAGATTAGATGATTTACTGATGTTGTTTTCAGTGTTTGTTGTCAGCTGTGATGTCATGACCTCAACAGAGACCCATCACCTAACAGACTCAAAGTTCCTTTAAAAATAAATGATGAGCTGTTTTCCAGTCACAAACTTTAAATTTGAATCAAAATTTTATGAATGCAACTATTTTTATACGGAACTGACATATAATGCTAATTATCTGTTAATGTTAATGATTAATGATCTGTTCAAGCCAGCAGACCACTTTCTTCTGGCAGAACTACTTTGGTACCAGTCTAATAAACAACACAATCTTCTTGCCTGCCCCACCCCTTCCCCCCAGGCTCCAGTTTCAGTTACAGAGGACATGCAGAGGAATCAGAGGACCATTACGACTCCTGGTTCTCCTCAGGAACCCGTTGAGGTCAGAACGGAAAATTTGTTCCAGAGGACAGAGGTGTTGGCAGGTTTGTATTCAGCTAATCTCAGCTCAGGTACTTTGTTTGAATAAAATGTGGGGGTGGGGGGTGTTGTCTGCAGCTGTTCGCTGTCTGTGTTGTTTCAGAGTGTTTAGTTCATCAGTAATGGCAGCATGTTTCATGGACAAACTGATTTTTTTTCTTCTGAATTTAAAGTTTTACCTAGAATGTACAGGATGACAGTTCATAAAACATGCTGAAGGGCAGAAAAGGGAGTCATGTGACTCAGAAACTGATGTCTCCTTTTCTGTGGTTCTGGACATCTTGTTTTGTACTTTAATCTGCTGTTGAAAGTCTACAGATATAAAATAAGATGGACTTGTTCCTTTCTGAAGTGACTGACTAAAAGTTTAGGATCAGGCCTCAAATTATGTTTTTATTTAATCATCTTTCAAATCAGAACTGTTTTTTTTTTGCAAATTTATTTTTATGACGCCTGAACCCCAGTCTCGGCAGACAGGTGGACTGGGACAGGTCTGGGATGGACGGTGGAAATACATTTTTAAAACATTTTATGTATTTAAAAATAATGTATTTTTTATCAGTGAAGCTTAAAAAAATTAATAAACGGTGCCGGCTTTATCATGAAATCCTGTTTTCACTTTAATGGCTATTAAAAAATCTGTTGAAGTTAACTCGGCTGAAAAATCATAAAAAGACACAAAATTATTGGATCTCTCAGGAATATTTCCTCATATATGTTTAGGAAGAGCTACAGACTTTTTTTCAACTTTATTCCAACCCACAGATGTACAAATCACAAAACAAGAACTTTAAAGCAAAGCTAA